ATCACATTTGCTGAGTTCACTGAAGTTTAGGTTTCTTCCGTCAGATAGTTTTCGCTCCTGAACGAAAGAAACAAACCCCAAAGAACTGCGACATTTATCATTAACAGCTATCTGCGTACCTAAGGTATACAAACTTCGGCCGTAATAAATAAACCGGCAAAAATCTTAATTTTCATAACAATACGAACGGTAAACTGGAGGACGGCAAGAAACCAAATACAAATCACATTTTCAAAATCAGCAATAAGCCCTTAACGATTTAGCGAGAGCACACATTACTTCATTAAATTGAAACAATCTTTCCACCGGAAGTAAATAGAATAAAAAGGATACGCCACCAGGAGTGGCAATAATTAATAGTTAGAAAAAGTAGCGGCTAAATAATAGCCGCTGGGAAGGGCTCAGCCTTTGCGAACTGCATACACTTGTGTAAACTCACAAGTCTCTGAGCAACGTCAAGGCAGGCAGCGCGCTGTACCAAGTGGACTTTCGAACTTACACTGTAACGCCTACGCACGTGCACGGTGGGTTGCCTATTCAACCGAAGCGCCCGAGCGACGCCTGCATACGGTACATCGTATCATTGAAAGTGGGTGGGTTCAATTACCCATCCACCCTGGTACTGCACTATTACCGGAGAGATAAAGACCTGGTCAGAAATAATTGACCGTCGATGGGACGCCGGAGCGATATCTGGACGACACCGTCGTCGACACCTCGACATCGCTTCAACGCGCTGTTTCGCACTCGTGGTAGGGAGGGTCAGGAGAGGAAGGGTGGTGGGAAGAGTGAGTTGGGGTTGGGGTGGACGTACCCCTGGCGCCGCAGGGCTGCCGCAGGGTGTAGGGTCGGCCGCGGCGCCGCTACTCCGCGCCGCTGTTGGAGCTGTCGCGGGTGTCGTCGGGCGGGGTGAGAGGCAGCTGCTCCTCCTCGTCCTCCTGCTCCAGCAGCTCCTCGTGGCCGAGCAGCAGACCCTCGTCGTCGCCGCCCTCCTCGCGCCCGTTGGCGCCGTGCAGCGTGCGGACGTGCCGCACCAGGTTGCTCTTGACGCTGAAGCCGTAGCCGCACAGGTGGCAGACGAAGGGCCGCTCGCCCGTGTGCGTCCGCCGGTGGATCTGCAGCGAGGCCTTGGACAGGAACGACTTGGGGCAGAGGCCGCACCGCTTCAGCGCGGCTGCAACAGAGAGAGAAGACGCCGGGGTGTGAGGACGCCGCCGAGCAGGCCGGGGAGGCCGCGGCCGAGGCCGCGGTATGGCGCTACGGGCAGGCGCTGGGGCTGACGACGTGGCCGTGCAGCGTGCGCAGGTGCCGCAGCAGGTTGCTCTTGACGTTGAAGCCCTTGCGGCAGTGGCTGCACACGTAGGGCTTTTCTCCCGTGTGCGTGCGCCGGTGGATGCGCATGGAGGCCTCGGACGGGAACCTCTTGCGGCACACGGGGCACTGCTTGCTGTCGGCGCCACCGCCGCCACCGCCGCTGCCTCCGCCGGGCGCCGCTGCAGCCGACACCCTCGGAATCACGACCCGCATGACGCCGCCGACGCGCGCTGGAACAGACACCGGCCCAGCAGGCTCTCAGGCGCGCGCCCCTCACGACGACGCCGAGACCGGCCCCGCGGAGGCGGAGGTCTCCGGCCGGGGGCAGCGCGCGAGGTGCGGCAAAGCAGGAGGCAACTAATTACGAAAGAAGCGCGCCTAGTTCGGGTGCGGAGAGCCCGGCGGCGGGCTAACAAGGGCAGGGACCGGCCGGCGGGTGCCGAGCAGGGCGACGACGACGCGATGGGGAAAAGTTTGGGGCTGCGCACTACAAGCCATCCCCGCCAGCACCGGGACAGAAGGGGTGGGGAGTGGGGGGCCAGAAAAGTTGGACTCGGCGAAAAGGCATGTTAGTTGGACGTGACGGACCAGCCCGGGGGTGCCGTGGGAGAGGGGGGGGTGTGCATCGCGCGATACGTAGTAGTACTCCCCGCAGCCTCGGCCCGCCCAGCCCCGCGCCAAAGCGGCAGAATTGATCGCGATCCGGTCGATGGCCCCGACGCCACCGGTGCGGTGTCTGGCCAGTCAGTCGCGACGTTCGTACGGCCTCCATCGCCACCCTGGCGACCCCGACGACAAGTACCCAAAGCACCCCCACCCCCCCTCTTACCCTCCCCTGCCATCTCATCTTCCTTCCCCCATTTCCCCTGGAATATTGACTGCAAAAATATGGCAGTGCCGAGACTGGTTATACATAAACTACGGAAACGTGAAATCGATTCATTTGGCAGCGGCGGTGGAAGGCGACAACAAGATGAGATGAAAGAATAATTGTGAGACATAGAAGCAAACAAATATATGTGTATATGCGCGATCGAAGGCGCCAGAGTAAACGACGATATGCACTACTACAGAGCAGCAGAGCGGAGCGGAGAGCAGATCTACGGCACACAGTGAGCGGGTGTGAGAGTGTGTGATTGTTCTACTCACCCTGAGGTGCTTGCGCCAGCATGCGCTCGCGCTCTACATCGCCTTGTACTTAGGCTTCAAGGCCTCTCGCAAAGCTGCAACACGACGAGCCTCATCACGCACACGGCCTCACACCTACGCGCACACACACACGCACACTTGCACACGCACACACGCGCGCGCGCGCGCGCAAAGGTAAGAAGGAGGATACACGGAGCGAGACAGAAAGAAAGACAGAGAGAGAAAGATAGTTATAGTAAAGTGCGATTGTGGCTGGTTCACTAGTAGGTGCCTTCCAAAAGAGACTAACGGAGCAGAAGAATGAGAAATTGACTAAGAAGGCGCGTCGCTGCGAGAAGTGTACCGATGGCTTCCTACCAAATTTCTGGGTCGAGCAAGAGTGCTCGGTGCTGGCTGCTACCGTCACCGACCAGGCCGCAGCTACCTCCTTCCTCGAGGCCCCGTGCGGGTAGGCAACCCGTTCGCGCGCCTGGTGTGCGGGACGGTCTGGCCGACAGGCGCGCGGTCGAACACGGACGAGCAATAATTACGGCAGCAACGAATACGACCGCGTCCGGTTTGTGGACTTCTCGTTATAGGGGCACACTCACCCCAATTACCCACTCGTCAAGTCGGCCGTGCGCCCCTTAAAGAGGGGGGCGGGCCGCGCCCGTGGGAGGGACAGAGACAAATGCAACGTAGCATCGAATCGGACGCGACGGCTCGGGCTTACGGGCGCGAACGAACGCCGACAGGGGGCCGAGTAGGACCCGGGCGCGGGAGCGGGAGCCAGCGCCAGCGGGCGATCGAAGGGAAGGCGTCGTTGGTTTCGTCGGTGCGGGTCGGTCCGGCCCCCACTGCCCCGCCCCGCCCCGCCCCGCCGAGACCCGCAGTCCGGTCGATATTACCAGCGGGTTACTATATCGACGGCTCGAACGCCACCCGCCCCGCCCCGCCCGTCAAGCTCCCATAATGACTGACGCCTGCTCAATGTAATTAGCCCCCAGGTTGAAGAGCGCACACGGTGCTCAAGGCTCATCCGAACCGGAAATAACAAACGTACAGATTGGTTTTGTTTCCGGCGTGAGATACGTTATTCACACATTTCGTCAAAGCGGCTATACGAAAAGAGAAAACAATATTTCGACATTGTCCCTGTGGTTAAAACTTCCTGGACTCCTCGAGACACACAAGTGTAAGGACGTGCAGGACAAGTGCTAAAGATGACTGTGGTTCTGCTGCCGGCCGCGGACAGTGGCTGTGATCGCTTCAAACAACATGAGCACACACACACAAACGCACACACATACGTGAGAGACAGGGGCCGCAGCAGCAGAGAAGAGTCCGTCCTGCTTACCGCTCGTCATCACCACCCTGCTAGAGTCAAACCGGGGCCGAGGGTAAGGGCGGAGGGTGGGCACCAACGGCGGCGGAGAGGAGGACCGCAGACTCGAGCGCAGACCTTAGAGACACACATGGAGGGGGTGAGCGCCAAACTGGAAAGGACCTGGTGTGAGAGTACAGCTGCCCGGCCCGGCCAAACGGAGCGCCCGTCCGTATCAACTACACTTTTCAAACGTCAAGTACTCTTATTATCATATTTTGTTCATACTACACCGGATCAAGGCGTGCGGATGGGCTTGCCTACCGTCACTCGCCGTATGCAACCCGCCCGCACGCCTGAATCCAGTACTAGTAACGTCCTGAAAAAGACGACGGGTGGACCATCCTCGCTGTAGTGCCTTTGAGTTTCGGTGAACATAGAAATGAAATAACAAACCGGAAAATGCCTTCTGATTCTCTATGGCATACCAACTACCAGAACCAGGTCTGTTTCATGAGTCGGTTTATTCTTTTCTTCCGTCAGTCACCTATCCTGAAAGGTCTACAATCTCGAACTCCTCGATCATCGGCCAGCAAACCGTCTCTACGGTAGCGTCTCAACGAGACCGTGGCTCTACTTCATACTGACATTTTGTGTCATCGTTTCAGGTCGATATCGTGGCCCAAGACTAGTCACGTTCGCGTCAGTATGATGTCAAATGCCCTCGAGAAAACGCCGTGACTCGGCAAGGTTGCTGACCGCATTCTCGGGGTTGTGTCCACCACCGCAGCCCCACCGCGCGAACCGGGCGGTCCTGCACCCCTTAGATACTTACACGAGAGCTGCTTGCCGGCGGTGGGGTGCTGCTGAGCGGCCGCAGCTGGCCGCGCGTGGCCTCCGCCCGTCGGCCGGGGCGCGAGTGGCCGAAGCCCGGGTGTCCGGGGCACGGGCGTCTGCGGGCGCAGCGCGGGCGGCCCCGGCGTCGTCGGCGGCCTGGCGTTGGCGCGGTTATGCACGGCCAGCTCCTCGTCCGTGTGCGAGGTCTGCAGGTGGCGCGCCCACAGCGCCGGCGACGCGAAGGTCTCCTTGCACACGTCGCACACGAGCTGCGCGTAAGGCCCCGTCTGCTGGCCGGCGCCGGCCGCGGCGCCGGCCGTGGCGCCTGCCGCGGGTGACGGCCCCGGACGCGCCGCCGTCCCCGGCGTCAGGGACCCCGCCGACGCGGGCGCGCTCGAAGAGGCGGCCGAGGCCGGCGTCGCCGCGCCCGACGTGGACCCCGAGCAGGAGGCCGCGGACCCGGGCCCGGGAGTGCCCGCGGTCGTCCTCTCGCTTGACGTGCTGGCGGAGACCGCGGAACGGTCGGAATCGTGCTGAAAGAAGGGAGAAGTTCATCAGTGCCGAACGCTGATGCGTTGCCCCGCCCCACCCCGCCTCACCACACCACTAACCGAAGACTGGCGTCCTTTGGGCGTTCTCCTCCGCGGCCGCCGCCGCATCTCGCTGTGCTCCTGCTCCGCGTGGCGCACCCACTCGGCCGGCGAGTAGAAGGTCACGTGGCAGATCTCGCACGACAGCGGTGAGAACAGCAGCTCCTCGCTTTGCTCCTGCGGCTCAACCACCTCCTGGGGAAGCGGAGCAGAGGGGTCAGAGTCAGATGCCCACAACGAGCGAGCAACGAGTGCTCGTTTGGTCCGAAAACGAGAGATGGGATCGAGAAGGAGCTTGTTTCCGTTCGATCATCTCACCTATCGTCTCAGATGATATATGCTCGCTCTGGTCAGTGTGGCTCCTGATGGGCCGCCAGGGCGAGGGACTTACCGGTTTGACGCGGAGCTCCGCCGGCACGTCTTCCATGAGGGCCTCTCGGACTTCGGACTCCATGTCCCACTCGATAGGCTCTTCCTTGATCCTCATCTCACCGACAGCAAGGTTGGCAAGGGCGCCGATGCCGTCCAGGATGGTGCGGGTGTCGGCCAGGTCGTTCTCGCTCTCGCTTCCACGAGATCTCTTGTCCTTGTCGTCCGCGACCCCTCCCTCGTCCACCGTCCTCAGAGGGTCGACATCGTCGTGCTTCGGCGAGGTGGTTCGGTGAGCTACGGGGGAGGACCTGCCCCCCTCGTGCCTGCTAGTGTCGGCCTCGCGCTTCAGGCCATCATCGTCGGCCTGGTGGTGCTCGTCTGTGGACGGCAGGCCGTTGGAAGGGGGCGGGTCGGCCGGGCCCGTGTCCATGCTGTCGTTGTCGTCCCGGGTGTCCGGGACCTGCCTCGTGTCCCGGGCGGGCTTGGCTGACGCCCTGGCGGAGTTGGCGGCCCGCTGGGCGAGCAGGTGGATGCGCTCCCGGCGGCGCGCCTCCCTGCGCCGGGCCTTGAGCTCGTCCTTGCAGTCGCGGTAGTCCTTGACGCCGCGGCGGGCCGCGATGCGCGACGCGTGCAGGGGCGGCCGGCCGGGGCCGCGGGGCCGGGGAGGCGTCACGGCGGGGTCCTCGTGGCCGACCTCGCGCCCCACCCGGCTCGCCCGGGTGTCGGGGTCGGCCCCGGTGCCGGCCGGGTGCGCCGCCGCCGGCACCGCGGCCGGGTCCATGAAGTGCCTGTGCACGCCCAGCCCCGAGGCGGAGGCGTACTCCTGGCGGGGCTCGGTGCGCGGCTCGGCGCGCGGCTGGGTCCGGCGCATGTAGCTCTGCATGGCCTGCACGAGGTGGTGCGGCCGCCCCTCGGCGCGCGGCTCGGGGCGCTGGCCGCCCGGCGCGCCGTTGTTGCCGCCGGGCCGCCACAGCCCGCGCACCTTGAGGATGTCGCCCGCGCGCAGCACGGCGCTCAGCTGCGAGTTGGGGACGGTGGCCTCGCCGCTGTACATGTACTTGATGAGCACGCACAGCGCGTGGTAGGACACCTCCGGCGGCAGGATCACCACCACGGGCAGGTGGCTGTGCGCCACCATGGAGCCGGCCCCGAGCAGCCTCTGCTGACCAGTGCAGGACAAGTGTGAGCCGGGGGCGTTCGAGACCCGCACGTAAAAATGAAACGGGAATAATGGAATCAGCTTACCTGGAGGTAGGTGGAGCTGGCGGCCAGGACGAACCGGTGGCCGGAGATGTGCCTGCCGTCCACCGTGCTGAGCACCACGTCGGCGAAGGTCTCCGAGTGCAGCAGCGTGGCCACGCACGCCTGCATGTGCGCCTCGAAGCTATGCCATTTCAACTGGTAGCACTCCGGCTCCATGGCTGGACCTGCGCAGGCGGGGAAAAGGAAGTGCTTGTGAGTGGGCTAAACGCGTGGCGGTCAGCAGCGGGGCGGGCGCGGGGAGGCCGTCGCCGTCACATCCGGCCGGTCCAAAATCAGAGGGCGCCGTATAGACATTCCGTTTGAACCCCTCGCTACGGTGGTGTGCGGTGAGTGCAGGCCCTGCCCGGCCAGGACCCCCGGCCCTTTGGAGTCCCTGTGGGGCCGCACCGCGCCACGCCAGGCCACGCCAGGCCACGCCAGGCCACGCCACGCCACGCCACGCCACGACACGCCGCCCGGGCACAGCGCAGCACAGCGGCGGCTCGATCGATTTCCCATCGTATCGCCTCGCCAGCCTGGCTGGGAGCAGAGCGGAGCAGAGCGGAGCGGGGCTGCTGCTGGATCCGCCCGCGATTCTCGCCCCCCCCCCCTCTCTTTTCCCTTACAGCTCGCTCACCATTTAGTATGCGCCTCCTCAGATAGTGGTGGCTCTTTTCTTATCCGTGCGCTCCGGTTTCTCCTCGTGCTAATTCACGCTGGCGGGGTGGGGTGGAGCGGGGTGGGG